TATTTTTGTTCTTTTGAACACTTTCAATAATTATAATATGTGAAGAAAATGATGCTAATGAATAAAAGAATAATTCCTCAGAACTTATTACAAAGTCTGCAAAAAATGAGATACAAGTTTAGAATATACATTTAAATATTTAAATTAATGCATTTTCAATAGAAATGAACCATCACTATTATAATTAAACTATAAAACGTGAATTTCATTTGAATGGAAATCGATATTAGAAGTTGATTGTCGTATTAAAACGCACAGAAGAAAATACTGAATGGAGGAAGCCGTTTATTCGAAACAAAAAAAAAGCAGTCGGTAAGATACCAAGTTCACTGACTCCGATGACTAATACGAAATTAATTACTCGACTGCTAACATTTCCTTCCAGACGTCTTAATGGTGCTTCGACTACGTGGAAACTGTTCGAAATTTACCAAGGTAGAACCGCAGCAAATCATGGAAATTACCATTTGTTCCCAAGGATATGAGACAATAGTTTTGATTTAAGACAATCTGAAAATTTTTATACTACACATGGTAGTTTTGTTGTTTTTAAATTGTATTTATTAAATTATTGTCTTGTTAATTTTGACTATAAAAAAAATGCAGCTGCGTCGAAGAACAAATACCGATTTCAAATGATTGAAATGAGCAACAATAACAGAGAAGAAAGCACACGAATTATGTGAATATCTCTACTGCAATTTACTAATATTATTAGTTGTTACGCAAGAGAGGTCAGAAAGTTGAATCAATAACAGATAAACAATTACAATTGCTTTTACATAGAAAGTTTTACAATAAGTATTGTAAAGTTTTGTAATAATACACCGATACAGTTAGTAAAGTAAAGGATTTCCCAATTACGCAGTTATTTTTAATTATCTCTATCTAAATTGCAGTCGAGTGACTGACTTATAAATGTGATGTTAATATTGACGATCATACAGTAATTAAGTAAATGGCATTTTAAATCGGACATAACTTTAAGTGTCGGTGAAGTATTAATTGAAATTCACAGGAGTTTTAATTGGTTTTGCTAACATTTTATCATGTACTTCCTAACAGTTATTTTTTAGCACCTTAGATTGATCTAGAACAGTGTAAATTTACTGAAGGTTGTTGTTGAAATAAATAAAATTTAATCTAAAAATGCAACACAATATTTCGGTGTTGTAATGTACATACAAATTCTAAAATAAATTGTAATCAAAATAATAATATAATGAAGATATATATTACTATATATATAGAACTATATATACAGAGTGAGTACATTTTAATCTTTGCATATAATTATCTCCAAAGATATTTGTTATTGTAAAAAATGTTTCAAGTAAAACTTATTGTATTTCAGGAGGAGGAAGAGGGGACAATTTTATGATAACCATTGGATTTGCCTAATTAGAGGTCACCTCCACTTTTTTAAATGAAATCATAATCTCTTTTATACATCAAAGCTCGGCATATTAATCTATGTACGTCGAAAAATTATTATTAGTTTAAAAGATAGTTTAGCTTTAATTTTGTAAAATATATTGTATCTTGCGTTCATTGTTCTTATCTGTGCCATATCACACTTCAATTTTAGCAGCGCGTTTTATCTGTGTGTTTTTATTACTTCAGCATCTAATAACAACAACCGAAAAACAGGAATTTCAACTTGGAAACGTCCCGATTCATGCACGTGTCGCCGATTATTAACGCTTCTTATTGGCATTTAAGCTTCGACTATACCCGCGTTAACGCAATAATTCAAGACTCGACGCAAAACTTGATCCGGTCGCAATAGAATGATTGCTCGCATACCACAAATACGTAACACACGTTGCGTGTGCGTTGTGCAAAATTAAACAGAAAGTATCGCGTTAAGGCACATCTTATGAACTTTTCATTCGATAAACGGAATATCTCGGCGCGTTTGTGGTAATCATAACATAACTCGTCATGTTAGTTTACGTTTCGAAAGATCCATCCTGCGATTTGTATCCAAAAACCCATTGAAGCTTACGTATTACAGGAAATGTGCGTTTTATAAACGGAATTACTCGACGGAAAATGGTATATATTATTATTATAGTATGTATAATATATTATTTCTATAGTATATATATTATATATCATATAATATATAAGTATATATAATATTTCTATAGTATATCTTATTATATAATATATAATATTATTATATATTATATTGTTATATAATTATTAGTATATAATATAGTATATAGTATATAATATACTATATAGTATATAGTATATAGTATATAATATAGTATATATTATATACTAATTATATATACTATATACTATATATAGTGTATATATATAGTTATCTTATTGATTTATAGTATATGGTGTATATATATAGTTATCTTATTGTTATAGTATACATATTATTTCTGAAGAAAATTAAAATTCCATCAATGGATTTCACGCAAATTTTTGTATATTTTACCCGATATATAATATCGTGCTTAGATATATAATATCGTGCTCTAGAAAGTTTATATTATACTAAAATTTATTAATTATTCAATAGCTAAGTCCCTCGTCAAAATGACTGCTGAGAATCAGTGAACCGTAAGTTGGCACCCATAGATTACGATATGAAGAGACTCAATCAGAAGGAAGAAATATGAGCATCGCAAATGCTGTATAAAAAGGAAGAAGAATTTATTTTAGCACACATTATCATAGCAAGTTAAATAAAATAACAGATAAGATTAAGAAGAATCTAATTGTGTGTAAGAAGAATTAAGCCATGTATTGAAAGTTAAAACTTTTCTTTGTTAATTACAGGAAAACAATTTATCGACGTAGAGACTGCAACAAAAGCCAAAGATTTTTGCTGAACATTTCATCGATATCACGAAGCTGACCTACATGTGCACCACCAGAAGGTGGATCTTTTCTTGTTCACTTAATCAGTGAATTACACTTCGGGTATGTAATCTAGTTACTCGACTCGAGCGTTGGCGAATTTCTTGCATTGAAATTCACCTTCACGAAGTTTCTTCGACAATTCACTAACCGTCGATTTCCACGTTTTTTTCATTCAGATACGAGCAAATCAATCAACGACTGACTTTCGTACCGTCGAAACGTATTTTACTCTCGTTTCACGATGATTTCTGAACGAAATTGAAATTAAATGATATTGGCAGCTGGAAAATATCGTATATTGTGCATTTCCCTTTTTGAAATCACTGCTGCTCACCATATATAAACGAGAGATCTTCCTACTGATCGAAATTAAAATCCGGTTCGACTGGCGGAAACGCTATCTTCTTGCCAACAATAAAAAAATCGATCGATGATTCTATCTTGCCAACTTGATCAGAGAGACCATAAAAGGAAGAACGATTCTCGAGTTGGTTTTTCACGGTACATATATACCTACGGTTCGAGTCTAGCTGATCCATCGACCGATCTGTGCAGGTGCACACACCGGAGAGAAGACATTTTGCGAGCCTTCTTTTCCTTTCTATGTCTACACGTAGAACACGTACGACGGACGTGAAACGCATAATACGTTACGTTCGAGTGGCAAACAGCATGATGGCAATTCTATTTGGTCTCATATCAAATAGTGCCACGATACAGTTACTCACTCACGATCATGGGATTAAAATGTGAAAAAAATGTGCAAATTATTGCCACCAGACTTACAAAGAGAATTCTCAATTTCTCAAGTCTTTTCAAAACTCTGATGTTTTCTCTGATAATTGTTTCATTTGATGAATTCTTTCTCAGGTTATCATGTATCATCTTTTACAACTAAACACGGCCTTCCATTGGTCAACATGGCAACTGTAAGAAGAAGAAGAAATAACGACGAGATTTTCTTTCTAGGGAACATTTGCTACTTTAACTGCTTCGTCGAAAAGAAAACATCCTCCTCTCACTGGGAGAGTTTATACTCTCGAGAAAATTCTCCAAGAAATGCAAATGTTAAAATGAAGCGATGGATAAAAGGGCGACGGATCATGGTCGTGGATTAGATTATAAAAGATGAGCTGAGAAAGAATAAGGAGAGAGGGCTGGCTGGCCGGTTGCCTGGTCGCTTCGAATCTGGCACCCTTTAGCCGAGTTTAGGCGGACAGTAAGTATTATTAGTCGCGGATCGCGTGCTTCCGTGTCCTTACCGCATGAAACAATGAGATCGTCCGCGAAAGATATGCGCGCCAGACTGTATCGCCGTATATCGACCGCTCACGCAAGACTCTTTTCTTCTCCTTTAGAAATCCAATCATCTTGATGTTATTTTGTCTTTTGTTTTTTTCTTTTCATATTTCTTCTTTTGCTCATTTTCCTTCTGTCATTCTTCTGCCTTTCATTTCTCTCTGTCTCTCCTGGAGGTAAGCGAACCCGTTACAAGCAAGTCTCCTTGAACTTGTTCTCCAGCCAGATGATAAATTATCTTTACATCGAACAAGATCAGAGTGCAGTCGAGAGCTCTTACAGAGACCGCCCAAAGACGATTCACGATCGTGCCATATGGACGTTGGGAAATTGAAAAATTTTAGCCGTTTAGCGATAAGATTTGTAAAGGTATTACGCAAGAACGAGATGTGAAGATATTGCATGTAAATATTATGGCATCGTTTTGGAAAGCATATACAAGCTCTGTTTTCTAGATTTTATGGAAGGTAATAAATTTCAATACTTTTTAAATCCTTGCTTAAAAATTAGGCGCAAAAAAAAAAAA